CGTACAGCAGGTATGTTTTATTAAGGTATGATATCTAAGCATTTTTGGTGTTCTTGATTACGTAATTTAGAAGTTGTGCTGTCCCACGAATTCTGTCACCCACTGGTGTTTACAATCAGCTGATTATTCATCACTCGCACAGGAGAATGGATCAGAGTTGCCATAGTGTGTCCACTAATAGCATGATTCGGAAACGCAGATTTGTTTATAGTACAACCTCGTAATATTTCGCAGACCTTAGCTGCCGATATAGGGTACTCTAGGTTTCAAAAATCAGGAACCGTGAGAGACCCTGAACTGCAATCCCAGCAGCTCTATGGACTCCTAACAGCACTAAACAAGTACTGTTAGGAGTCCATAGAGCTGTGATCACACCCAGAAGCACCACGCACACTAGCTGCTTCGTATACGTATACGTATACGTAAACGTGGAAGTAAGACAATCAAATCGTGTCGGTGGGGCCCTACACTGGAGAAAAAAATCAAAAACTCACTTCGTTCTGGTTGTTGAACCTGGTAGGAGGTTTTTTTGCCGGATTTTTGGGGTTGTTGAGGGGGCTGGGCGTGGGTGGCTGTAGTTGTGTGGGAGTGTAGTGGTGTGGAGTGTAGTGAAGTGATGTGATGTTTTTGGTGGCTGAGGGCTTATTGGAATGACTTGCAGCCTGAAAGATAGTAGCTATAGACGTTCCGGTAAGCGAGCTGGGATTTGATGACTTGCCTTTTGCGCAGTTCTGTTCTATTAGATGGGAGGGGTTGTGAGGGGCTAAGAGTGTCTAGGTGGATGATAATACGAGCGATACCTCGATTGGTATATGAATGTCCCCCTATTAGTCAGCCTCAGACAGTTAATGGAGATTTTCGATCCAAAAGTGCAGTTCATGATAGGTTGAAAGTCATCGTATCGTCCATATCGAAGACTGACCTGGCAGAATGAATTATATACATAGTTCTATCAAGAAATCCGTCTCCCAGTTTCCAAATTTCTCTTGATAATATATCAGGAACGATAATAGGCATACACTCTATAACCACGTATAACAATTAATCCCCCTAATCCTATAAAATTTGCGAACCCATTACATGAACTCTAAAAATCACCTCTGTATCCAGAAGTCCAACAGCAGCACAACCCTCTTTTCCCTAAAACCATAGAACCATAGAACCAAATACCCAAACCCCTCCAACCCCTTCTCCCCACCTCTTCCTCTCTTCTAGCCGCCATCCAAACAATCTATTCTTCGCAACTACGGTTCTATCCAAGATCCCAGTATCGATGTACCAACACTCTTTCCTCAAATACTCTTCCATAAGTACTCCACCTAACCAAAACCAAACAAAAACATAAATATAACCACAAATCCTTGAGTCCTCGATTATTAACAAGGGATCTAGCACCCACCCAGATTCAGCAGTGTATGTAGTGTGGATGACGGGGGTAGACACCGTCTTATCCTATTTATCAATGTGTAGACGGATGATAGATGGGTAGACTATGCTGGTAGATGTGAGGAAGCGCTGGGAGGAGATAGAGATATGTGTTCTGGCTCGTATTCTGTAGACGGGCTTAGGGGTATTTAGTTAGTGGGTTCAAAGGGATTGGAGATCACTAATTAATACCAGCAGTGAAACGGGAATTTTATCTACTTAGTTAAAGTGACAACAACACGCGCTGAACCTAGATTTCTTTACCCTCATCCTTTATCGTTCAACTCCATCCACGGGCTACCAAATTCATGTTTCCAGATGCCTCAAATATACTACGCAATAACCCCCTCCCCCCCCCTCCCTCTTCCCCCAAGAAAATTCATGATTACCAATCGTAAGACGGTGTAGAATTACATCTTTGCGTATAGTGCGGTTTTGCACGAGCATGTCTGATTTGCAAAAGTTATTCATGGAGATCTAGATACCAAACTTAAACCTGATGATTACTCGAGTAGGCGTAGATTTGAATATTGTAAGGGTATTTGTACGATGGTATGCGAGAGATTATAATTAGTGGATAAGGTAGGATTTAAAAGTGTTTTCTAGTATGCCGATGAGGTACTTGATCTGGTTCCAGTAGTCTCTGTGTTCCGGGAAGCACTAATACTTTGTACCGTATTATAGCTCATCGGTAGAGCATACCGCATGAGAACGTCAGATTTTAGTAGGAAATGTCCATGAGCAGACTAGGTATCATCAGAATATCTGATGATATCAGGAAAATTTCAACTATCTAATCCTTCACAGAAGGCGTGAGATCGTTACCCAACCCCTCCAAAAAACTCTCCGCCTGTTTCCTCGCCCTCTTCTCCCCAATCGCCTTCCTCCTTTCCTCAATCTCCCTCTTCCTCAGCTCCTTCTTCTCCTCTCTCTCCCTCCTCTTCCGTTCAGTCTCCAATCTCTCCGCCTCCAAACTCTCCATCTCCTGTTTCCTCGTCGCCTCATCCTTAGAGAAGCTATAAAACCCAACACCTTTAATCCGAAACTCCTTATCGGCCTCGTAATGCAGCTGCGGCGGCGGTTCTGTAGCCAAGTCCTCCATACCCGCTAGCTCTTTCATCTTCTCCAACACGGGCGCATCAGGATTAAACGCCTGTGTCTGTACCGTATCGCCATAAATAAGTTTCTCAGGCATAGAAGGACGGGCCGAAATCCGATCCAGCTCTTCCTCTCTAAGGACCTTGTTAAGTTTCCTCCTTTCCATTCTTTCCGCATCGGCTTTCGTGCCCCTCCTTAGCCGTCCATACTCATCCTCATAATCCACGATCTCTCCCCCCTCATCCCCACCCTCCGAGTCCGACGAAGAATTCCCCTCCCGTTCCCCCCCTTCCACCCACTTCCTATCAAAATCCACCAGATCCTCCCCCGGCTCCCCTTCTCTTACAATATACTCCCCCCTCTTCATCTCCCTATACAGCCTCGCCTTCCTCTCCAACTTCTTGTTACTCAAATGGAGGAGCGTATCATTTACCTCCCCCAGATTCTCTCTTTTACGACCGCGACTGCGTGTCGCTTCATCGTCATCAGATTCGAGGTCCGCGAGCGCGCGCTTCTTGGTGTTTCGGTTGTGTGTGGAGAAGATGTCGTCTTTGGGGGTTTTGGAGGGACGGGGGCGGCCGTGTGTGGGACGGGTGCTGGGGGTGGAGAGGAGGGAGGAGAGGGTGGATGTGAAGGCTAGGGAGGTGGAGGAGGAGAGTTGTTTGGGTTGGGATTTGGGTTTGCGGATTCCGTAGAGGGAGGCGTCGGAGGACATTGTTGGTTTTTGGTATGCGTTGTTGAGTAGGTAGGATGTTAGAGTCCGTGGAGGTGATAGCCTTGGTGAGCGAGGCTGAAGAGGTGGAAACCTGGTTGGGTGGAAATAGCGGGGTATTTTGGACCCACACCCCGCGAACTACACCACCATAAATCTGATGCTCATTCACTCCTCCAGAGCTTTTCAGTTCAAGTGCAACATTCCTTCACCAAAAAGCATCAACCCCTTTCCATTCACAATATCCTCTTGTCTATATCCAAAAAAAATACCAGTCCTTCCCATGACCTAACCCACCCCAACATAATCCCCTGATCCCCCAACCCAAAACTGCCCTCGCATACACACATACACACACATCCCCACCCCAAACATTCAAAACCACGCCCTATTTTGCACCTCACAGGCAATCCCAAGACTTCAATCATCCCTCATACCCCACACCCCCAAAACATCCCAACAAGTTAGCAGCCAACCCTCTTGAAGACGAAGTAAACAACTTTACGACGTACATTTCCGTTGAAATGGCAAAATACCTATCTACAAACCCAGCGTTATTGGGAAACCCAGTTAGCGAGAGCAGCAAGCTAGAAGATTACCCTGCGAGCTGGGGAAGGAAGGGGAGTGTTGTATGTACTGTATGTGGGATATGAATATTTGTATATATATTGATCTGATCTGATCTTAAGCGGAAACGAAATTCGATAACTTTTATACAACAACCTCATATTTCGTGAGAGCACTTCTAACCCGTCATGAAAACCCATATTATCACACGAAGCCATAGCCCTGAAAGTCATCAAGTAACGAGGAATATCGAACGCAAGTTTTTAGACGGCCCATAGATATAGCATCACATCCTCATCCTCGGGTTGAATAGATTTTAGAAGTGATTTGAATTCCATGCTGGCTTATAGCATTTACTCTTTAATAGATACCACCAGGTATATCATCGTCGTTGAAGACATCTCCATGAAAAAAACAACGAAAGCCACCCATACTGTACTTTTCTTTGTCCAGAAAAAAGGACTCCCTCCCATCTATCCCATTTTCCCATCAGCGTTGAAGCCAAAGAGGGTCCCAGAAAGAAACCGAAAGCACGCAGGCAAAAAAGGGTGTATATCATCGCTATGCGCAAAAGTCAAATCCAACTACATATTCCGCGGAGATGTGATCATCGTTCCCAATCACTCCTCCGCCCATCGTTTTTCCCTCACTGGAAGCTCCTTTCCTGCCGCAGCACGAGATCCATCACAATCTGCGCGCCAAGACCAATACTCGCCAAGTCGGACCTCTGCATACGATGCATAGTCAAAGTCGATTTGGGAAATAGTGGCTTGAATCAAGGCCCAAATACCCCAATAAAAACCAGGAATTCCACGCCAGACATCTACTTCGTCAAAGAGCTTTTGGATTTCGGCTTCCTCATCTACACCGGTGTTGTCGCGTTGGAAGGAAAAGTAACTTCGAATGTATTCCCGGATGAAGTCTTTCCTTTGGGATTTGGTTGGCAAGAGTTGATGTTCGCAATCAAATCCTCCCCATTCGGCAAAGTGATTTGCAATGTCGAATGCAGCGGGCGATGGTGTTGCGTACTCGTAATCGATGAAACCGACTATCTCTTTTGGCTCACCAGCTGCTGTGATACCTGAAGATTTTGGTTGTACAATTACATTACCACTCAATAAGTCGCAATGGGCAAAGACAAGCTGGCACATGTCAGTACGGAAATTCGTTCACATCACCAATGGTCAGGCCGAGGCTTTATCTGTGGTAGGGACTGAAATCACTCAATGGCAATTGTGGCATGTATGTGTATTGATAGGAAGAAACTCACGCTATCTGTACCTAAACCAGGGCGGTTACTGAATTCCTTGACCAGACGGGTTAATTCCTTTTGTAAATTTGCTTGTCGAGAGATTTGCGCGTCTGTCGATGAAGGAAGAGCATAGATCCATTTCTGCATGACAGTCCATACATTTGGAGCGGGTTTCCCGGGAGCGATATTGTCAATAGCTGCCTGCAATGCTGGATCTTTCTTACTTGGGGTCGGAGCCGGAACTCCTATTTCTTGGCCTCCATTGACTTCCGTTGCCAAAGCTTCTCGAGATGAAGGGAGACAAGGGACGACCGCGTGCCACTCTGCCAGTCTCGTTGCTACAGCTCTCCAGATTTCTTGTCGTCGGAGATCCGCAGGGGATGTCACAGCACCTCGAATGAACCGATAAAGCATCCCATTGTGAAATCGAGCCAGCAATTCAGGGGCAAGCTTGTGTCGCATAAGGAGTTCGTGATTTTGGGTTTCTCGTTCTCGATCAATTATAAGATCCGTCCCTTGTCCATATGCTCTAAGTAGAACTGCTTCATTATCAATTTCTTCCGACGATAGACCAGGCTTCTTGTTCACCACTTTCAGCAATGTATTCGTGATTCCATCCGTGAACCTGACAAACTCAATCTTGCCATCGGTATGCTCCCATTCGGGTCGGAGGGTCAGTACTAAGCGTAAAGCTGAAGTCTGTGAATCGCTTTGGTTGTAGCTCAAAGGAATGAATCGAACAGTTCCCGCTTGGGTAGCAGGTCCTGATTGGATCGCCATTTTATGCTGTCGCATGCTCGTAAATTTGAGAGTTTGGGGGTATCGAAGACGCAACGGAGGAGCTACCTTGAGTTAGTATGATATCAAGCAGCGCAAGCGGAAAGTATGTGAGCAGTTTGACTCGGTTTGAAAAGGGGTTGTGCTAGAGCGAAGTTGTGCACAGTGAAAGTTGGGCTTGCTACCTAAATGATTCGCGGGGCGACGTCATAAACTGACCTGAGGAGTTGAGAAGAGGCGTATGCTCTGTCCAGGAATTTCTTGTAACTAATAACTAGAGTACCGGTTATCTGTTTTGTATGAGAACAAGAGGTTTTTGACCGGATGTACTATGTAGGTGAGAGAGAGGTGTGAACTGGAAGCAATCGATGCAATCCAAAGTGCGGGCAGCGCCCCAGGTTGTTTTGCAAGGATAATACGGCCGGGATTTTTGCGAATAGAGGTGCTTATCAGTTTGCTGTCTCTCTGCGGAGTGAAGAAGAGCAAATAATAATCAGAAGGGCGAGGACAAAAGTGCCAGATATTTCTGGGGATGTAGCTAGCTTTCCTAATTGAGGAGTTGGTCGTGTGGTGGAGTGCAGGCTAGAGAGCACCGACAAAATATATTCATGTACGAGTACTCTACACAAGTATCGGCGATGGTGGGGCCGGGCCGGGTTTGCCACCGATCTCGGTTCGTCGGCTAGGTATCCTTCCAGGTGCCCCTCTCACCCCTTTCTTTCTCCTCCAGCCCTCAACAATTTTAAGCGATATCAAATGCCTCAACCTGGGAATTTGATCTACGAGTGCTCCTGTCACTTGATATCAAGAATCAAAACGCTATTTATCAGCCTTATTTGCTCACCCGGCGGGGTACTTTGTACGAGGGAATGACCCCTCATGCAAGGTAACCTGGTGAAACAATATCTGCAGGATCCTGGTCTTTAGGCACGTCACCGCACCTGATACAGGTGCAATACTCTACGAGTACTTGAACATTTAAGTGATTGAAACAATTTCCGTGAAGAAAAGGACCAGAAATTTTTATTACTACAATTACTGTACCATACAATACCACCAGCCAGCCAGATTTGAGTACCAACAGTAGTACAGGTGAAGGCAAACGAGGGCAGAAGCGATCAAGCTTTCGGACCACAAAAGTGCTGTAAGACATCCCGTGTCTTATCGGGAAATGCTAGCTATCACAGCCAACCACCAAACTTAGGTTCAACAAAGCCATGATTGGCTCAGGAAGGCAATCGCGACCTCGTCGTGCTTCTTATCTCTCCTTCCTTCTCAATAAACCCTCATCATGTTTCCAAGTTCGGATTCCTCACACATCTCTACAGGATGCCAGATGAGGAAGCAAACGAGCGTTCGCGTCTCCTTCACACTCACAATGCCGACAGAAATCGAGTCGATGACCATGGTGCAGAAGCTATAGAAAATGCATATCCCATCATTTCATCGCATCTGTCGAAAAACGAGCAACTTCTTGGTGATTCCGCAATTGGTGAAAGACTTCCTTACAACGATTATACTACGATTGATTGGCTTCATGATCTGGTCAGGATGCTTATCGCCCACTTCATGGGGAAAGCTAGTGCTGATTTGATGCACAGATCAAAGATTCCTACCGGTTTAGAGCTTTGAGGATGAAGAAAGGTCTGAATTATCGTGTTCTGGTTGCTTGGGACTCATGCCAAGGATGGATAGCAGCTGCACTGATTGGAATGATCACCGCATCAGTTGCGTTTCTGGTTGGTGAGTCTCAGTTTCTACTCTTCAGTGCTTCCTCAGGATAAGGAAGTTAACATCACTGCAAAGATGTCACCGAAGCTACACTCAGTGACTTTAAGCTCGGATACTGTTCCTCTAAAGCGTTCAGTACGAAGGAAGCATGTTGCATAGGAGGTTCCGAGGGAGAATGTGAAAATTGGATATGGTGGTCCGAATCCTACTGGACCAAGTTCGCTTTATACGTTACCCTCGCTTTTCTATATGGAATAATAGCCGGTGGGGTGACGATGACCACAAAGGCAAATCTTCCCGCTGCCATACACGATAGTTCAGACGAGCACCAAGAACCTTCCAGGAAGCAAAAGCCAGTAGGCAAGTCAATGTACATGGCAGCTGGGAGTGGTATACCAGAAATCAAGACCATACTTTCGGGATTCGTCATTCCTCATTTTCTCGACTTCAAAGTCCTCTTTGTCAAAGCGGTCGGTTCAACATTCGCTGTTGCAACAGGTATGTGTCTGGGAAAGGAAGGCCCATTCGTACACATTTCTACTTGTGTTGGATACTTGGTTTCCAGTCTGTTTCCTAAGTATCGAGATAATGGGCGGAAAATGCGCGAAATGTTGAGTGTAGCTTGTAGTTCTGGGTTAAGTGTTGCATTTGGCGCTCCAATTGGTGGTGTACTGTTTTCTTACGAGGTGAGCTGTTGCAGTATGATATCAACTTATGAACATCAAACTGATCAAGCTTAAGGAAATCAGCACATACTTTCCACGAAAAGTCCTTTGGAGAGCATTTCTGTGCTCCCTGATCGCAGCAGTGGTCTTAAAGGCACTGAACCCAACTGGGACGGGAAAATTAGTACTTTTCCAAACCAACTACGGTGACAGCTATGAGCCACTCCACTATCTTGTTTTCGTCTTTCTGGGGGTATCAGGGGGGGTCTTTGGTGGAATATTTTGTCGAGCAAACTTTCTTTGGTCAAAGTCATTCCGCAAATATTCTATCATTAGCAACCATCCTGTTCTGGAACTGGGAATAGTAGTTCTCATCACTGCCGTTCTTCAATATCCCAATCCATTGACGAGAGAGCCGGGAGATATTATCATGAAGAATATACTCGTGGATTGCCGACACCCCAAAGGCTCCTGGGTCTGTGTTCAAGAGGCCAATGAGGACAAGAGCCATTATTATGGTTGGCTCGTTTATGGGACTATTGTCAAGTTGATACTTACAATCATCACATTTGGCTGTAAAGTCCCTTCAGGGATCATTATTCCTGCGTTGAACGCTGGCGCATTATTTGGTCGTCTCATCGGTCAAGTATGATCACAAATTTCTTTGATCAAATATTCAACTAACTCTACCCAGGCCATCCCAGATATCTCTCCCGGAATCGTCGCCATGGTAGGCTCAGCCGCCTTCCTCGCCGGCGTCTCACGAATGACCGTCTCCCTCGCCGTAATAATGTTCGAGCTCACAGGAGAAGTAGACTACATCCCCCCCTTCATGATCGCCATCCTGGTGGCAAAATGGGTCGCCGACAGTCTCAGTAGCGAAAGTGTCTACGACCTCGCGCAAAACGTTCTCGGCCACCCATTCCTTGACCACGACTACGCCCTCAGCATCGTCCGCGCAAAAGGACATCTCGTAGAATCTCTCATCCCCCCTCCACAAACCATGCGCGAAATCACCGTCGAAATCAATTCCCACGGCCTCGTCGCTGAATCTCTCCTCAAGCTCAAACTTGGACAACTGAAAGCGAGGGGCTTGATGGATGCGGGACTAGTACTCGTTGATGAGAAGGGCATGCTACAAGGCTACATCGCTCAAGGAGAGCTGGAATTCGCGCTTTTGACCGAGGGGGTTTTAGAAGGAGAGGAGGTGGATGTGTTGCATGGTCCGATTAGGGCGTTTGTGGATCGCACGCCGGTTATGTGTACGGCGGTGGCGCCGATAGAGTTTGCGGTGGAGATGTTTACCGGGCTGGGATTGAGGTATCTTGTTGTGGTTGAGGAGGGGAGTTGTAGGGTTCTGGGGTTGATTATTAAGAAGAGGTTGGTGCTTTATTTGGAGGGGTTGAGGGGGGATTGAGGGGGCTTGAGGGATGGTTTTGAGATGGTGGGTGTGGATGTGAATGATTTTATATATCCAGCGCTACGAAGATGGAAGGTCAGGAATAGGTCCATCAGGAGTCGACTTTTAGTAGAAGTGAATTTTGATACTTAGATGTCGGCGGTTGATACTGTCTTATCTCGCTTCTAACTTTAAACATGGTAACATTAATATCTAACATCCTAGAACCTAAGAGTAGGTAGTAGGGTTGTTACCCGTAAATTTAGATAAACTATAAATAATTAAAAAACCTCTAAAAGTCTAAATTAGCGTAAACAAAGATTTGGCCTCTAAAATTAGATCTTAGCATAAAGTTTAGGGTCTATAAAGGGGTAAAAGTAGATTAATTTCATACCTTAAAGGAGAGCCCGGGGTTTTTAGAACGGTCGTATAACCGTTATATTATAATTAAAAAAATATATGTATTAGTAAAAGATAACTATCCCTTAATTATTATATTACGCTTCCTTAGTAAGAACTATTTTATTTAGTAATAGTTTAGGTATAATTAAGAATTTCTTAATTATTTATAGTAGTAATTATAACCCTAGGGCGAAGACGTTACTTTAGATAAACGTTTATAATAGTCCTAGGAGCGTTCCGGGAGCGTTCTAGGACCGTCACCTACCTAGGTCGGTAAGGAGGGGTACTAAGCCTAGGAATACCTTTACTTAGGAAAGGCACTCGCTTGTGACGAAACTCAAACTATCTGACAAAGGTAATCGTTTCGACGGTTGGTATGCGGGTAAGAAGTACAGATGCGCCGGGTTGTTTAGTCGGAGGCAAACTCGTCACTTGTTAACAAAGAAGTAATAACTTAATAACTAGATTGCTAAACTAAGTTGAGCACGAAGCTCCTATCTAATGGCAGACGTGCCAGTTCCATATAGAACCTTCATATCCCCAAAGTCGACAATGTCGCTCGCGACATAGTCGATTGTCGGCTGTCGAGAAGTCGACCTGCATGAGTCACGTGATTTACGTACAAAGAAATCCTTGGATCGCTTAGCTATCCTACGCGATCCCTATTTGCTATAAGGACCATGATGTGCCTGTCCTGTCAGAGCGCCGTCTGGACTAACTATTCACGTGCTTAGCACGTGATTCGTGACATCGCTTACCCTTACCCCTACCCTTTGCCCTTACCCTTGCCCTTACCTATACTAGCGTAACACGTATATACTATAACCGTATATTAAAGCGCCTATAATACACGCCCATTAAAATTACCCGAATCGACCGATTTTAAAACCTAAATCTATATAGCGTTAAGGTTAAGCTTATAAGAGTAGTACTAAGTACTTATATTTATCTATATAACCCTTACTTCTCTCGCTATTTAAGAGGGTTCTCGAAAATAGTCCTAGAATTATCCTAGAAGAGTTATAAAAAATAATTACTAAGTAGGAATACTCCTAGAATACTCCTAGAATACTCCTAGAACGGATGTCACGAATCACGTGTAGTGTAACGAATACTCAAACTGGCTAACTAAACTTGGCTGGGTGTTCGCTGGTTGGTATGCTATGATAAGAAGAAGACTATCGGGTTGTTCACTTGGAAGTGAACTCGTTACTTGTATCAAAGATGTCAAACTAATATGATAAGATTGATAACTAAGTTGAGCACGAAGCTCCTATCTAATGGCAGAAGTTCCAGTCTTATATAGAACCTTCGTTCTACTGGATCCCTTTGGATCCCTCCTGGATCCATCGGGGTCCATCACGTGACAACAACCAAATGAAATCCATGGA